CCAAAATAAAAAAAAAAAAAAAAAAAAAAAAAAAGAGAGAAGCTTTGTTAATAAAGCAACTAGAAAAACAAAACCATTCTTAGTGGTAAAAAAGCACTTTCCCCATCCTGCTTCTCTCCCTCATGTGCGGGCAAGCTGGGCTCGCTTGCAATCAAAAAACCTAGGGGAAAAGCAGCAAATAAAGCTCAGCCTTGGAGAGGGGAGAGCAACATCAAAGCAGGATGAGTGGTAGAGTGGGATGGGTGGAAGTCCCCTGTTCTACATCTAAAACATCTTGAAGTCAATTCACGGTGCCATACCTTGTTTCATGAAAAAAAACCAGCCCAAAAAACAATGTAGAGGAGTACGAGTTTGAACAAGTTTTTGGTTTTTTTAAACTCTGATGAACGAGAACCTCACATTCCCACAACAAAAGCTCTCTTTCCGTGATCTCTCCAAGAACCACATAAAACAGAACCAAACTCAAACCAAGAGCAAAGTTGTCTTCTTGAGGCTGCAGCCAAACATCATCGCTGCGTATTTCACTGCTCAGCCCTCCAACGCAGCAGCGTATTTACCACGACTGTACAGCTCCCGAGCAAAAAAACCATCCATTGACTTTACTGCTGTCGAGCCATGGGACTTTCTGGTTTTCCTTTTCAGTTGACTACAGAAAGCAGCTTCACTGCAAGACCTTGCTGGTTGCCTTTCCAGCATCTAGGTCAGTTCCTGCTTCCTGGGTTTAGTCTCCTGACTAGAAGCCATCAGAATTTGTTTTAGTTAAAGACTGGTATTTGTTCTCACAGAGCTGCATGCAAAACAAATTGCAAAAAAACCCCCAAATCCTAATCATTCATAAATTTAGGGGCAAGTTAAATCAGATGCAACTGTTGCACCTAAACTGCAACTCAAGATGCCTTCATGAATATAACCAGAAAACTGAACTCTCAGATCAGGTCAGGATTTTCTCTCCACTCCCAACTCAAATACTTTCCTGCAAATACCAAGTTTCCACAAGAGAAGTAGAAAAATCAATAGCCAAAATACAACAGACTGTTTTGCAGACTGACCACAGATAAGAAGTCTTCAAGAAGGGATTTTTGGCTCTACAAA